TTTTGTACAACCACTTAAAGATAATTTTTTTTTTTGGGGTCCGGTTGTGGGGCCTGAACTCTGGGTCTGGGCACTGTCCCTCAGCTCTTCAGCTCCAGGCTAGCGCTCTACCACTTGAGACACAGGCACTTCTGGCTTTTTTTTTTTTGCTTATGTGGTGCTGAAGAATCGAACCCAGGGCCCCATGGCATGGCAAGGCAAACACTCTACCACTGAGCCACCTTCCCAGCCCTTAAAGATAATTTTTAAAAAATTTAAAAATAAGCTGAGCACTGGTGGCTGACACTTGCAGTACTAGCCATCAAGACTTGAGATCTTCACTAAACTACAAGAAAAGCCAGAAGTGGAACTGAGGTTCAAGTGGTAGAGTGCCAGCTAGCCTTGAGTAAAAAGAGGTGAGGGAGAGCACCCAGACCCTGAGTTCAAGCCCTAGGACTAACAATAAAAATTTTTTTTTTAAATTAAAAATCAGATCTATGGCTAGAAAGGTGGCTCAGTGATAAAGTGCTTGCTTCACATGCATGAAGCCCTGGGTTCAATTCCTCAGCACCACATAAATAAAAAAAGCCAGAAGTGGAGCTGTAGCTCAAGTAGTAGGGTACTAGCCTTGAGCTGGAGAGCTGAGGGACAGAGTTGAAGCCCCCCAACCGGCAAAATAAATAAATAAACCTATTGGTTCATTATCTCTGCCAAGATAAATTTATTAGTTATAATAATATAGCCTTGAAAAGATACTACAAAGGTTTTTTCTATAATCTAAAAATTTAAAACAAGCTTTTATTAACAAAACTTATCCAGATATTTCAAACATATTTAAATAATAACTCATTTATCTTTTTAGTACATTGTTTCTTTCTTTTTTTTTTTGTCAGACGCGGGGCTTGAACTCTGGGTTTGCCCACTATCCCTGTGCTCTTCAGCTCAAGGCGAACGCTTTACCACTTGAGCCACAGCGCCACCTCTGGTTGGCTAGTGGTTTATTGGAGATAAGAGTCTCTCGGGGGCTGGGAAGGTGGCTCAGTGGTAGAGCGCTTGCCTTGCATGCCTGAGGCCCTGGGTTCGATTCCTCAGCACCACATAAGCAAAAAGAAAAAAAGCCAGAAGTGGCACTGGCTCAAGTGCTAGAGCGCTAGCCTTGAGCTGAAGAGCTGAGGGACAGCGCCCAGGCCCAGAGTTCAGGCCCCACGACCGGACCCAAAAAAAAAAAAAATTTGTGTGTGTGTGTGTGTTGGTGCTAGTCCTGAGCCTTGAACTAAGAGCTTAGGTGCCATTCCTTAGCCTTTTCACTCAAATTTGGTGCTCCTGAATCACAGTTCCACTTCTAGTGTTTTTGGTGGTTAATTGGAGGTAAAAGTCTCATGGACTTTCCTGCCTACACTGGTTTGAACTGAAGATCTTCTGGGGCAGTTAGGATTGCTGGAGTCAGTCACCAGGACCCTTTATTCATCTTTGAAGGAATTTTTGTTATTTAGGAATAATTTTGGCTCAACAGATACACAATATAAATATAATGGACAGAATTCATATCTACACCTTATATCATCTTACATCAAACTGGTGCATTACTATGAATTTGCAAATTTGATTGGATCTGTTTTTACACTTTTCAGGATCCAATCCAGGAAACCCTATGATTCAGTTGTCACATTTCTGTAATATCCTTTTATCAGTGACAAGCTCTTCCATTTCTTCATATCTATACAGTTTTGAGGATTCTATATTGTTGTGGATGTTTTTTTTTTTTTT